TCATATACCATCTTAGGTGAAGGACAAGGTATTAAAGTCATGTGCCTAAGTCACAAGAAGAGCACATGGCTCTGTGAACTTTACAAACAGTAACGTTTTGATGGAAAGGTTAGGTAGACGTCTTCATCCAGAGTATGTCCATATTGTAAGTTGTTACCACTGCGTAGTCACTCAGTCTTCTTTTTCAGACCCTGTTCTTCCTGGCTCACCTTTGCCCACCTCACAGTCTTCTCTCGTGGTCTCCTCTAAAATGGAACTTTCTGAACCCCAGTCTTGTACCCTGCCTCTCCTCCTAGCCAGCCTCCTCTTTCCTGAGTAGGTAGATGACTTAGAACCCATGATGAAGTCCTTCTTTTAAGTTGAGCAACATATTAGCCTCCTGAACCATCTCCCTCATTCCTGAGTCTCCTGAGCCCTGTTTCTGAGGCTGCTTGATCTCCCAGCTTCCCTTCTTTTGCCCTGTCAGTCTAAGCTTCTTCCCTGGATTTATGTGGGTACCAGTCTGAAGCCTCTTGACAGGACTCAAGACTCACCCCCTTCTTCCTGTTTGTTCCACCCTGCCACTGGACATGACCTCCTGACTGACAGCTCCTCATTACATTTTTCAGAGACTTAACAAACAGCCTCACTGCCAGTTCCAGCTCTAACTTGATAGTTTTGGCTGGAGTTAGCACCTTGGCTTCTGACACCAATGAGGTCATTGTAATTGGGCAAAACAGAGAGAGATAAATCTAACAAGATTAGTCCACAACCTTCACTTGACTCATGGATTATTGAGATGTCGTTCAGTTTCCAAATATTTGGAAATTTTCCAGATTTCTGTTATTGATTTCTAATTTAATAACATTGTGGTCAAAGAGTATAGTTTATATGACTTCCACCCTTTAAATTTTATTGAGACCTATTTTGTGACTCCAGACATGGTCTATCTTGGTAATGTTCCAAGTCTATTAGAAATATGTGTTCTGGTGGTAAATCGAATGTTTCATAAATCCTACTTGGATAAAGCTGAGAGATAAGTTGTTTAAGCCTTCTATGTTCTTGCTAAGTTTCTCTATTTGTTTTATCAGTCTTGGGGGGGTGCAGAAATTTCCAGCTATAATTGTGGATTTGTAGATCAGGCTGGCCTTGAACTCACAGAGATCCGCCTGCCTCTGCCTCCTGAGTGCTAGGATTAAAGGTGTGCACCACCACACCCAGCCTTAGTTTTTAAATTTTATCAGATACATAACTACGATGTTTTTGTCCTCCTGAGGCGTTAACCACTTCATCGCTGTGTATTGATCCTTTTTGGTCCAATAATATTCCTTGCTCTGAAATTTATTTGTCTGATATTGATATATAAACTCTGCCCTTAGTGTTTTTTATACTTTTAATCTATTTATGCATTTACATTTAATGTGGATTCCTTATAGACGATATATAAGTGGAGCTCATTTTTTAAATGTATCTAATACTATCTGCCTTTGAATTAATGTTTTAGACCATTTACATTTAACATGATTGCTTATCTGATTCGGCTTAAATTCTACCATTTGGCTATTTGTTGCTCACTTGTACCTTGTGATATTTATTCCTTTTCTCCATCTCTTCCACCCTTGTTGGCTTATTTGAACATTTTTAAACATCTATTTCCTTTAAAGCTTACTCAATGTATTTCTCATGGTTGCTCCAAGGTTTATACTATATGTCTCTAATTTATGATACCGTGCCTTCAGCTAATATGACGTAGAGGTACTGTTGTTACTGTCTACAATATTATGTGACTCTATTTGTAACATGTTTAAGTAACAAAGGGAGGAAAGAGAGCATTTGGCTTTTCTGTCACGTCAGTGTTTGCACCAACAAGCAGACGTACAACAAGCAGAACAAGCAGATGTGAGCAGAAGGGCGCACGGCTGAGCAGCAACCAAGGCTGTAACACCAAGCTACCTTACACTGCTGTATCTTTCACTATCATGAGCGTGCATCTAACAAGCCAGTTTCAAATGAAACATTTCTTTTTTAAAAAAATATTGTATTTATTATTTTTTTAAGTGTATGTGTGTATTGCCTGCACGTAGGTAAGTGCACCCGTGTCGTGCAATGCCTGCAGAGGACAGAAGAAGCTGTCGGATCCCCTGGATGGAGTTATACGGACAGTTGTTAGCTGCCATGTGGGTGCTGGGATTCGAACCTGGG